AAAAATAAAAATAAAAAAAGATAGGAGAGAAGGAGAGAGTGTGAGAGAGAGAGGGAGAGAGACAGAGAGAGAGGGAGAGAGCAGACTGTGGTCAGAGGCTCAGAGCAGGGCTGAGTTCCTTTTAAGGGTTTAAAAGATGCAAAACAGTTCCTCAAAAGTTCCCTCTCTTCAACAGTTAGCTCAATGCTGTAGCCATGGAAACTCAAGTAGATACTGGAGGAGAGATTGCAGGCAGATCCGCGGCGGGCGTTAATCCTCGATGATTATGGGCTCGTCATTCATGGGCTGGCGGAGCTGCACTGCCTGCATGGGCCGCAGGATAATCGGCTTGTAAGGGCGTCTGGCGGCTCGCTTGGCTTCCGAGGAGGAAAGCAGCTTGCGGATTTTCCTGCAGACAGCAAGGAAGAAAGGCACGGATTACAGAGGCACCACGGGCTGCTCCGCTTCTCCAAGGGAGAAGGGGCCCGCACACGCCTGGTGGGGTGGCTGACAATGCTTGCTTCTGCAATGTCTGCCCTGGAAAACTCAGATTTTCTGAAGAGGAAACTGCATTCTCTGCTCCAGAATCCTTCCCCTGCAGGGCAGAAGGCATTCTGGCCCAGCCTGGTAGGACCAGGGCCTCTTGCTGTGAATAGAACATGTGAAATAGTCAGGACAGCCGGTTTCCACACCACTCATTTATTCTGAATTAATTTTCATCAGTTGGATGTGCTGCAGGTAGCTCTGGGGAAGTTTACAAAGCCAAGTCAACACCAACAGGGTGTTTCCCCTTCTTGCTTCACCCACACTGTGTGTGCCCAACCCAGAGATAGGCAATATTCACATCTTGTATTTGGTTAACCTTGTATTTTGGGTTCACATCTTGTATTTGACTTCCCTATATGCACAAAACTGGCAACAAGTCCTATCAGATGCAGGAAGCTGTTTTCCACATGGAGAGAAAAACACACCAAAGCTTTAAAACTACCAAAATAAGAGACAAATACTGAATGATTGCTTGGTTCTTTTTGCTAATACTAGGCTCAGAGATAAAAAAAGGTATCACTATAAAACCCCATCCAAACCCAAAAATGCAGCAACAATGGAAAGTGTACTGTGTAATTAAAATGAGGAATTCTTTTATACAGAGGATGTTGTGGTAGTCAAAGGCACATAGAGATTAGAAAGAAAAGTAATAAATATTCACAAGAGCAGTCCACCAGTACCCACTATGAGTCTTCAGCTCAGGAACTGGGGAAACAGAAGGGTCTGATAAGGCAGCATCGCCTTCCCTCACAAGCTGCTGACAGAACAAGGTTTTGGCTGACCACAAGACAAGAAAGGAAGGGCTCTACAGCCCACATTTCAGCCACATATCCCCCAATTTCATTTAGAGAACATTGCTGGGGTCAAAACCCCCTTTTGTTGGTTGTAGTTCTGGTTGGTTTGGTTTATTTGTCAGTGGAAGAGAGCCCTTCTCACTGAGCTGATGCCTATCACTGTGCTATGATTTCTGCCTTTAAGATGTGATGGCTGCTGAAGAAAGTGGTCAAAATACCTCTCCTATCCTCAAACCCTTACCCTTAGCACCACCAGAACTGACAAACCATCAACTTCAGCTGCAGATTTTGAATCACTTCTTGTCAGATTTAGTCATCTCTTCATTTGTTTTTGTTCTCTTTTTTTTTTTGCCCACCAAGCAGGACAAGCTGCTGCACTTACACAGACATGTTTTTTGTTTGCCCACTGTCCCCATTTCTCCAGCACCTTCTAAAACTAAAAGGCCACAGGGTGAGGAGAGGTGAAAACAAGCTGGCAAAGTGGTGGTGGGGGAGAGAAAAGAAAAATCTTGATATAATGACTTCTCCAAGATGTTTGACTGCAGTTGATCCACCTTCAGCCAGCAGAGCTCCTTGCAGCCAGCACCCGTGTGTGTTCCATTAGCCATGCTGCCAGCAGACACATCCTCCAGCACGCTAGATTCTGATCAGGTCACCCGCTGCCTCTGCTTGCATGAGTTCTAAATGCCAAGTTCCTTACTGGGAGCCTTCAATTCAAAAACTCCTTCCTTTCATTAGACCAACTTTTCAAACTGTACAGTTTTCCAGCACTGTTCTCAACAGAGCTACACAAAAAGGGGAGAGGGGGAGCGTGTAAAACTTCAGGGAAACCTACTTGCTGTGACTGCAAACACAGCCTGACCCTCAGCTGGAGGACGATATGCAGATATTGCAGCTAGATTGATTGCTACGGAGCCAACACAAAGCTCAAATTGTTTCAGAGCTCACAAACAAGTCTTACATTCCTGACACTGGAATGCAGCAGATGGTTCAGGGAAAAGTTAGAGGTGAAATGCCCGACAGAAAACCCGTGCCACTGACAATGCTCCATCGCTCAGGATTCCCTGCTCTTCACAGCCTGCCAAAAATCTCCTTTCACCACTCATCAGTCAGCTAAGCAGCATGGCTGTCAGACAAAGAAGCCTGGGTTGGTTTATTTTCCTTTTTTTTTCTCTCTCTAATTTTAAATGCAAGTGATAAGCTCTTACTGAGGTGATGTCTGTCACAGAATCACGATTTTCATTAGAGTTGTGCTGGCTGCTGCAGGACTGATCCTTCCTGCCTCTGTCAGTAGTTCTGTATGAGCAGAAGATTCTGTGTCTACAGTAAATTGTGGTCACAACCAACACCACACTGGATGAACATTGTTGTAGCTCTGTCCAGGTCAAAGGGCAAGACCTTGTACTGACACGCTGCCACCATACACCTGCTATATTTCATGTGCCTTGGATGGTGAAGATGTCAAGAAGAGCTCCCTAGATGAAGGATTATGAAGCAAGCCTTGAGCATCTAAGGAGTGCACATCCTGTATCTAAGGACTATATACTCTGAGTCCACAATGGCACATTAATCTGAGAGCTGCAACAGGATCCCAGTACCTCTTTACCAGAGTGACAAAAGTAAAAAGAAAACTGCTTCCCCTGAAAATTAAATCATTCTCTCACTTTATTTTCAATTTCATATGGAATTTCATATATAACTGCTTTCTTTCACAGCATCTTGCAGGCACAGAAAGGAGAAGGGAAAGACATAGTAAATACATGAGCTGGTGTGAAATGCACACAGTTGCATTAAAGGTATAATAGGAACAAGTCTGACCAGGAAATTCAGTTCACGTGTCTTCTGAGTTTCAACTAGGTGTTTCCTGCACTGAAAACTGATCATCCAATAGATCAGTAGTTACTAAGTTGAATGTTACTAGTATCACCTACTTTATAAAGCCTATCTTTGATACTAGGCCCACAGAATAGTTCCTTGACACTTGAAATGTTTTGCAGGTTAAGGAGAAGTTTGGAGATGCCAGGACTCTTGACTGTGACCTTTGTGCTGTACAAATGAAGACTCAGAGCAGTGCCAAATTTAGTAGTACAGAAAAGACCAAGCACTAAAACTCTCAACCTCCTCAGTTACTTGAACAGTTCAGACACCCAGTAATTCCCAGGTCCATCTCTGCAAGGGGAGGGAAAGGTAAGTGCTTCTCTGCTGTTGGGGCAGTGATAGTGCAAGTGTTGATAACGCCAGGCTTCAGACCAAGACAGAAGCCAGACAGCACCTCTGCTGTCAGAGGGCTGGAAAGCAGGGCTGCAGCTTTGCTCTGACCTTCCTCAAGGTTACCCAGGAGGGAAGCATCAAGTTCCTGGGAGGAAACCACACAAGCCAATTTCTCTGCCTTCTCATCACACCCAGAAGCAACACTCCCATCCAAGGAATACCAGTACTGGGAACTTTGCCTTAGGGATGGGATCACATAGCTTCTACCACTCTGTCAGCCGTTTGTAAACAGGCTGAAGTGAAACTCATACAAGGAAAGTTTCTTCTACTATTTTTATCCTGTGGGCAGACCAACAAGAAGAATTAGGACTAGCAGAAGCACTATCACCAAAGGAGGAAGATGTACCACCAAAGGAGGACACCGTGGGGCTAAATCTCACTGCTACTGACGGCAAATTAAACCACTGAAAAATGAGTCAGCTCAGCCCATGGAAACCCTCTGTCACTCGCAGGTTTCAGGACCCAGACTCACGTGGAGATGTCTTGACGGGCAATGTGAGAGTTCAGCATGCAAGAGGACATGCAGAGCTCTCTGTGTAGGAGGCTCTGCTCCTCAGTGTCACCCATGAGCCAGGAGGGCCCTATCCTATCCCCGAGATGGGACCTCCGAGGGCAGTGATGGGTCTGAACCAGGTGAATTCCCACCTCAGTTTTCCTTCCCTTTACATCCTCTGGAGTAAGAACAAGCATCTGCTTTCTCTGGAATGTAAGTCCATTATTATTTCCCACCCTTTACCCACCTCAGCACTGGCTGTGGTCTCTGCACTCAGTTTGAAGCATCAGACCTGCTGACAAGATCCCCCTCTAGCCACACCACCAGCTGCAGCACCCACAAAACAACAGATATCCCCTTAAATCCTCCAAAACACCACGTTTCCTACCTGGTTTCTTCAGTGGCCATGTAAAAAACATCATCTGGTGCATCAATCCAGTTCATCCTCCTCCTTTTCACTGGAGGCATGGATCCACCACGAATTAATCGGACTTTTGTTGGGTATGATTTCCCATTGAGCAGCAAGTTTCGGCTTGGTCCCTAACGTGATACATAAAACAGCACAGTTATGGACTGCAACAAACCTGCAGCAACGTGTGCTAAGCACTCAAAGGAAAAGAGAATTAAAGTTTTTGTATGGCTTGCTGAGAGTTTAAGGTAAATACCTCCCCCTCTGGCCCAAGACTGAACACAGAATTCACACATAAGCAATTGTTCACAAGCAGTACAAGTCAGGCGCCTTCAATATGCAATAGGACAGCAATACCTCAGCGACAGGACAAATAATAAATGGAAGGCATTACCAATAATTTGTGGCTCATGTCTGAAAGATGACGTCAAGTTCAAAAGATTGAGCATCAAACTTAAGATTTCAGCCACTACCATAAATCTAGAGCAACTCTATTGATTTCAGAGAAGAAAGTCTAGCTACAGAGCAAATTGAATACAAAAATCAGAATTTACAGTTATTTTGGAGTACCAAACTTACCCGTATTCCTTTTGTTCTAGTGAGGTCAATATTTAACAAGGATAGTATAGAATTATATACATTGTTGAAAACAAATGTAGGACTACAAAGCTTAACAGCTTTCAGGATAAAACCCTTCTAGTATTGAACACCACAGATTTCCCGTAACAACACATTTGCTTTGCGAATCAACACAGGCATCATTTTCCAGACTCACAGTAAGCCCCTTACACTCAGCTGGAAAAATATGAGCTGTTATTAAGAGAGGTGCAGATGAAAGGGAGCAAAGTGTTAAGCTTCTCAAATACAGCTGTCCTTGATCACTGAAGTCCAGTGCTGCTGCCCCTCTTCCTGCTGATCAGCACATTGAGAAATCCCACTGAAATCAGTAACACTGAACAGCTGGGAAAGATGCAAAATGAAGGCCCAGAAAATTTGATATGCATAAATTAAAGCTGGTCAGAAAACACCTTGGTATAGATTCAATTGTGGTATTTCACAGGCCATTGTCCAAGGCCAGACCAACTCCCCAGATGCACCAAGGCTTCCCCTTGTGCCCAAGGAATGGGAAACTGAGCATTTGTGTGAGAGATGTCTGCCCTGGGAGATGCACCTCAGAAAGAATGGTGGGGACATGGGGACTTCAAATCCTTTAGGGTCAGGTCATTGCAATAACTAACTGAATTTTAACATCTTGACTTAGGAAAGGAAGAATTCAGTCTAAAAACCAAGGGAAAAAACCCAACAAACCCCTGCATCTATCTCATTTTCCATCTGAGCAGAAAACAGAAAATGATAATGACTTATTTTTTGACCAGCCTTAATCAACTGCTCTAGCAAGATCTGCTTCCTGTAGAACATCAGGGCTTTAGAGCTAAGCAAACAAACCCCCACCTTCTAAAACCCTAAGCTTTTTAAAACTGCTGCATACAAGTGCAATAATTTCATTTCTTAGTTGCCCAGCTCTATGTTATACAAGACAGCTTCAGTACCACAGCAGACCACTGAAATACTTCAACAATTGCTTTCAGATTTGACATTTGTTAAGCAAAAGGTTTTCTGATGGCTTTTGTTTTTTTACCCCCTTCAGGTTTCTCCAAGAAAGTCCACTCATTAAGGTTACAGAGCATATTTTCTCCACATGATTCAAGATACACAGGAGAACAACTCCAGAAAAAGTTCTTGGAAATACCTAGAAAGGGCACTCTTGTGCTCCCAGGTTGCCTTTTCTCTACCTACATGGTGAAATCTATTTCAAATGATCCATCCTGAAATGAGAACCTTTAATTTTTCATTCACACGTGATTAGACAACCAGAAATCAATGCAGTTCTGGGAGTTTTACCCTAAAACACCTAAAAAGTAGTAAATCAGAGATTTCACCCTCTGCTCTGAGTTGGTTTATTCAGCAGACACAAACAAGTAGCCAGTCTTCTCAGTGACAGAGGATGACGCTGAATTCATGGAGGAATACAATTTACCACTTTGGATTGAGGAATAAACCAAAGGAATGATCTGTCATTCCAAGCAGCCTGGTACACCCAAGTTCTGGCCTCCCCTGAGGCCACTGCTCACTTCCCCAAACACTGTCAGGCTCAATAAAACCTGTGATCACTGTGCAGTGACCATCAGTCACACCTGCTGCTGGCTGACCTGTGTCACAGGGACCCTGCTGACACTAATGCATTGTGGCACTTAGCTAACAAAGCAAGCTCCACTTGATCAACATCAGAAGATCATTTTTTTGAGGGGGTGGGGAGGGGAATGCATGCTTGAAGTTGTTTCCCTTAAGCCATGTGCAAGGGGGAAAAGGGATGCACAGCCTTTGCACTGGCCCCTTCACAATTTAGTGAGAAAGCATTCTGCCAGAGACACATCCATCAGACTGGCTATTTGCTTCTGTCCTTTGATTAAACTCAGCACAATAGATGAAAGGCTACAAATAATTTTTACTCAAAAAAAAAAAAAAAAAAAAAAAAAAAAAAAAAAAAAAAAAAAAAAACTCTCCAAAAAACATCTAAAAAAAAAAAAAAAAAAAAAGAAACTGTTTTCCAAAAAAACCCCTTCCATCATTTAAACCTTTCTCCTTCAGGGAAACACATTGCACCTAGAAACACATCCCAGAACTTTGCTGTAAGCAGCCACTCCGTTTCTGCATGAGCAGAAACAAAATGCTCTGTTCTCTGTTCAAAACAGGATCTCATTTACAGATATAAAGGTAGATAGATTTGAGGTTTAAATTGTATTTAACCACTAAGATGATTCAGATACCCCAAAATAATTTTTTTCCCTTTTCAATGATTTGGGAATTATGACCAGCTGCAAACAGCAAAGGTGGAAGTGAAGCACTATGGTTTAATGGGGTGTTCTATCTAGCACGGGTTAATAATTCTTCTTTTCCCTGTTTTGGTTAAATGAACATTCTCTTACCATTTGTCTGGTTTGTCCGTGGTTAGGCAGACCTAACAAACAGGAAAGAGAATAGAGCTGGTAAGACCATTGCTTTTCCAAGACAGAAAAAAGTACAAAATCAAAACACACGCAGCTATGATTACAACTGTGTTGTTTTGCTAAGCCTGGAGTTGCCTACTGAACTGACTTCTGCCCTCCTAGAAAGGTGACTGAGAAAAGCTTCCTCGACAATGTGCTTTGGAGAGCAGAGGCCCCAAGTCACAAACACGTTCCACTCGCCCAGTCTCTTCTCCATTTACTCAAACCTTGCTTCACACTAGCACTAGAAGCACACCTCCTCTTTCAGATCCCAGGCTTGCTGTGCATCTGGGAAAAATCTGACATTCTCTTTTTGTCTGAGGAATTTACTGACGTCAAGAAGGAGAAAGTGGAAGGCATTATTCACTGTCAAGGCAGCAACAAACAATCTTCCTTATCCTCCGTGGGTCCCCTGAGAACTCCTCAGCAGACATCAGCTACAAGCTGTTAGCAAACAGAGTGTATCTGCTGAACCTGCCACAAGTAAACACCTCTTCAGGCACAGAGCTCAGCCACAGCAGCCCTTTCCCAGGCACACACAGCACCAGGCACCACGGCTCGCTGCGACCAGGTGCTTTGCTGTGCTAGCAGGTACCCCCTCACACTGCCCTCAACTGTACTATGCACACACAGGAGCCTGCAGGACTCCCAAAGCTCCTGGGATCTGAGGGAAAAGAGTGTTGCTGCAAGGCAGCACGGCCTGGCACAGAATGGACTGGGACACCCAATAAAGCTGTTTGCTAGCACCGTTTGGTTTTACAAGATGCATGTTCACAGAAAACACCACTTCATTAGCATCTGTACACCAAACCAGCTTCCTCAGCCCCTTCTGGCTGAGAACCAAAATGTCAGTGCAGCAAATCAATGGGTTCTACAGGACAGGCATCAGCAAATGCTGTTGCTGTCTGCAAAAGGTCTCAGCATGAATTCTGCTTTCACAGTCATGGGATCTTTGAACATTCCTAGTGCTAGTGAGTTAGCTGGGATGAAAAGCTTTTTCAAGAAAGCAGCAAGAATGAACTTTCACAGCTCATGGTCTGTACACTCCAGCAGGTTCCTGGAGGTTCTCATTGGTAAAACCAAACACACTGTCCTTGCATCGAGTATAACGGGAAACACAGGGCACAATAGTGTCAGGAGTGAGGAGGGTGAAATGGGACATCTTCTGAGCATTGAGTATATCATGATATACCACATTAGAATCATCAGTTCATATCAAGGCTATTTTCCACCCTGTATAGATGTTAAGCTGTTAGCTACTTCAAATGGGAAGACACATGGCTTCAGTTCTTGCTGCATTTTTATGCCTAAGTATCCACAGAGATGAAGAAACAGCAGCCAAAAATATTTCCACCAAGACTGTAGGACAGATGTACCAAGCACCAGTAAAAAGGCCAGTAACAACCTCTGGATGTTGACAAACGCAGTGCAGACAACAGATAATAATTTGTTTTTACATGGGAGCTACCATGGCATCCAAAACACAGCTGTCAGCAGCTGTTTGGTATGGATGGACAAAGGGCTCCAAGGATGCTGGGAAACAGCACAGCCAGCAGGATGCAACCAGAATCTGTCAGCTTCAGAGCAAAGCTCCAGCACTTGTTACTTTCTTTTCCCTTCCATAACTGAAAGATTACGTTTTCTCCATTCACAGATACTCTGAGATGTAAATCAACTGATGCTAGTCCCTGGATTGAAGCCACATATTTTCTTTTAGCCACACTCCAGATCAGTTCTTTTCTTGTAGTAAGAACACCCTTGATGCCAGAAAAGACTGTCCTGATATGTGGCTGCTGCTGCAATGACTATTGCTGGATGTACAACAGAGAGTAAACAGTGCTATTTCCAAAAAACAGGATTAAACCAGAGTATTCCATGGTGAGAAGCTGAGGGATGCAGACTGAACAAAGGCTGAGCAGAACTGCTGCTTGCTCTGACCCCCAAAGCTTCCGAGCCCTCAAGCAGCACAGAAGCAGTGCTAACAACAGGAACACACCTCCCTCCCAAACTGCCAATTCTAGGATAAAGCTGCCCATGACAACTTTTTACTCCAGTAAAATAGGACACAAAACAAAGCTACAGCTTCAATGGAATTTATACCCTTGCTTTCACAGCAATAAGGTATCAATTAGCATATTAATATTGGTAAATTAATCCATGAATTTTCACTTTAGTCACACTTCAATAACTGAAGTCTGAAAGAATGAAACAGGCACTAAAATGACTTTATTCAGTTTGCAATTAAAAAAATATCACAATAAGAACATATGCAGCCAAAGCACTGATATTAAATGAGCAACCTCTATGCACCATCATCAGCAAAAAGTGGCAGAGAGTGGCAGCACATCTGTAACCCACTGAGGAACTGCTGACAAGTCAACAGGATCCATCTGGACAGGAGGAGACAATGGACTCTCACCCAAAAGGCTCTGTGTGAGAAAGGAAGCCTGTGAGACAGCACCTCTAAAAACTAAACCAATCCTGTGTCTGTGGGTGAGTGGTAGCACAGGCAGAGAACTCACCATGCCAGACTCACACCTGCTCCACGTGCCTGCTCCACTTCCACAGATGAAGACTTAAGAGATGTCTCCCCATGCACCCACAAGCAGGTTAAAAATAAGATAGCATAAGAATTTAAATAAGGAGCAAAATGCAACAGTTCTGGCAGCTCCTCTCCAGAGGGAAAAAAAAAAGCTCTGACTATATTTTATGGAGGAATATCTCGAGAAGACACAGGGTAGAAAATGTGATTATTCTTTCTGATGATATCTAAGGTCCAACTGCTTGAATTTGCACAGCTCCACATCAGCACCAACACTGACCTCCTCCAAATGACACAAAAATACACAATAAAAGCAAGTGTTTTCAGGACTGACCAAACTTTTAAAACCAGAAAGTGTAAAGGTGTACAGTGACAAATCTAAGCAGGTCTTCCACTCTTTTTCAGCCAAAGAAATTGAAATATACTCTGAAAACTCCTGACTAAATGTCAGGGTTTTTTCCCCCATAGCATTGAAAAGAACCCAAAGCTGTAGAAAACCTCTTGCCATCCAACTCCTCCTGCCAATCTCCTCTATACACTGAAATAAAGAGGAAGCCCCAGAGGATAAAATGAAGACAAAGTCAATTGAAGGTATAGCTGCAGAGAATCATAAATGTCCTTTGCCACAGACAATTCTACACCTTACTGAAATGGCAATAAAAAGCTGATCACTGCACAGAGATTAACTGGCACCCTCAGGGCATGTCTGCTCCCTACAGCTCAGTGCCAAGGACCTTGGAACTGCTCCTCAAGCTAAGCACAATCACAGAGATTTTGGATGAAAACCAGTGCAGCAGGTTACTATGCCCTAATGATCCCTGCATTCCTGAAGTACCAAAGCTGCAGGTGAATATACTTTCTCCCAGAGAAATACAGGCGAGGAAGGACTGCAATCAAACAGCAACACAAGCCTGCTACTGCTGCTACTTTGCACCTTTGTGTTATCTTTCGAGAACGGGGAAGCCACCTCTCAGTCAAACAACCTTTTCCAACAATCTCATATAATTTGTATCTCATGCTTTTGGATTTGTTAAAAGAAAAAATAATTTGAACAAGAGAATGCCTAAACTTCCAGCAGCAACTACAGCACCACCCCAAGAGCACGCTGTGGGGGTAGGGGACAGCTGGCACCCAAAAACAGAGAGAAAGGGAGAATCTAATTTCCCAATGGAAAGCAAACCAGCACATCTGGTCCCACTGGATGCCTGACTCTAGATATGCTCTTTGCTGCTCCAGTCCCATCCCCTGCAACTCAGCACCTTGATGGCAGAATTCCAAAACTACTCCCACTGCTCACATTCTGCCTGCTGTTTTGCCAACACCACACAACAAACAGCTGTCACATGGAGAAGCAGGAGAGCCTAAACCCTCAGCAGTGAGCCCAGTGCAGGCTGGAGCATAGGGATATTCCCATGAAGTTACTACAGTAAGCTTCAAGAAGCAGCTGAAGCATGGAAAACTTTCTGCTTGGTCAGAAGCCACCCAGTGCTTTCCCACACCTGAACATACACCCTGCTGCTGTGCATTTACAGCCCATTTCACAGTCTACACAAGTCTGTACAGAACTGACCCTCATACCAAGGAGGAAGAGTATCCCAACTTCCAGCCTGGACACAACTCAGAGTTGGTAAACTTGTGTTTACTCAAAGTTACTAACTCCAATCTTCTGCCACCACACACAAAAATTGCTTCATCAAGCAATTAGTCACAGATGGCATTTGGTTTTACTTTGTTTACCCACAAGAAGTATCATGCAGAACATGTAATATGCACTAAGACTCAGAAGCACATCTTCAATCACAACAAATGCCGAGAATTTCACATACTTTTTCACAACAGTGACTTCACTATTCCTTTCTAAAATCCATATACTCTTCATGTGTGTTTTCCTGTTCCAAAAGTAATCCTCCTCCTGGGACTCCATCCTTCCCAACAGTAACAAAAACATCAACAGTACCACATTTGTGAGTAAGCTAAAAAAATATAAAAATCTATGCACGAATAAGGCTTGATGAACAAGGATTTCATTTCCAAGTTACTGGTTCACTCGAGGCAGTCTCAGTGTGTTGACATACACACACACACACTTTTTTGCCAGCTTGCAAGAACACTTTAGCACCCTTGCCTTTCTTATAACTACCTAGAGTGTTTTACCACTGTTTGTGTCCACCTTCAGAGGCTACAAACTTTCAGAAATGTAAGTGCAACAAGCGGAACAGAGCATAAATTTTGCCAAACACCACCTAGACGTAACATTTTCTTAAAATTCTCTTGTACATAAAAACAATGTTAAAATTGCAATTTACTTACCTAAGTAAGTTCCTACCAAGATTGGCAAAGGAAAAGGAAAGAAAAGATTTAAGGTTAAAAAAGGGAAAGATTCACATAGTTTAGAATACTGTAGCTCAGCCCCATGCAACAAATAGAGATACACAGACTGGTTTGGCTGTAATGAAACACAGAAGTGATCACAGCTCTCTGTTGGACAGATAAAACCAAGACAACATTAAACACACAGTAGCTCTGAATGAGAGATTTTGCAAAGAGCAGCTTTAATTTTGGCTGGGTAAGCCTGTACCCAGCTCCTTCCACCAAGCCCTGCATATTAACATCACTGGATTTCAACAGCACTTCCTAAAATGCTTGGTCCAGTAGGTCACCCTCACTTGCTGTAAAAGCAGCCCCTCCCAGATGATGTGTCTGTTCATGCTAGGCTGTACCTCCTGCTACAAGCACTTCAAGAACCTTGCTAATACTTTCTGAACAGTGACATCCACCACAGAGAGCCAGCAGCTCTCCTTGGATAAGCACATTGAGAAGGGAAAGCTGCTTTCTGTCTCGGGGCTGAGTCAATCAGTACTGTCCACTCATATTCCAAAAAGAGCATCATGGTGGATTCTGCCTGGCTGTAACACACCAAGTGGTCAAAAGAAAAGAGGAGACAAAACTATGCACCTCACTGCTTTAGGATATGCTGGTCCAAGCTATCTAAACTAGAAAGCACTGAATTACTCACTGTTCTTAGCATAAGCAGTATTACACATCATATCTATATATATATGTGTGTGTGTATGCAATAGATAAACAGATTAGATAGATAGATTATATGTGTCACACATTCCACTCAATTACAATTCAGCCTTTGTACTATCCAGGGCACTTGCAATTCTGCCTTTGCTCTGTTATACATTAATTTCCTCTCACATTAATTACACCTGCTCTCTTACCATTGCCTTGGGATATGCACTCTCCTTTCAATCAACATTTGCATCTTGCCATCACTCCTAAATGAAATAGTTTTCACTAGCTGATCCACAGAGCATGATGCCCATCTGCTGATTTTATTTTCAGATCTTTCTTCACAACACCAAAAGAACCTAATCAGAGTATCAAGGCTAAACTGAAGGCAAGTGCAAATTGTTTCACTTAGCATCTGAATACAAAATCCCGTATGAAATTCTCAAAAATAATCATTACTTTAGGCAAATAATCTTAAAGTGAGAAAGTTGCACAGGCACACGGTTCTTGGGGTCTCCAAAAAGCAGTTCAAGCAACTTGACATTCTTCCCAGCTGTGCTGCAGCTCAACATTTGCTCTCTTGCCACTGGTCAGCATTACTGGGGTCTGGATTTCAACACTGAAAGCCAGGCCTTCTCCCCAGCACCCCACCATTTATTAAAGGACCAGCACTCCCTGCTGTTTCAAGTAAGTTCTGGATGAGCACATTTCCACTGGCTGGTTATCCCACAGTTTTTAGAAAGACAGCTGGGGTCACTGACGATAAAGGCAGAATTTTAATGCAATTTATGCATACAGGTAAGTCCACATTTTCTGCAAGTCTAAGTCAGCCAGAAAAAAACACATATATATATATATACACACACGTGTATGTGTGTGTGTGTGCATGATTATACAAAATATTGAGATAATTTCGGTCCCCTACATAGCTGATGTTAGAGAACTTCCCTATCTTTCCACCTTGACAGCTGCTCTTGTTCAAGAACATTACTTCCACTGCCATGCTCATCTCTTGATAACTGAACTAAGGCCATGCCAGGCTGATGAATGCTTCCACTTTTGGATCATTCACGTTTCCCAAAAAGGATATGAGAAACAATGAACCAGAACATGTTAAATTAGATTGACATTCTATTTGGGTTTAGAAATCCTCAGCAGCAGAAGCAAGGTATTCCAACAGTTAATTAACCTCACTCAAAAATCTGTAGCTTGTTTCCAGCCAAAGTCCCCAACTGTACCTTCTGGCTACTGCAGCTTGTTATTCCACTCCCAGCTAGACTGAAAGTCCCCTATTATTAGACTTCTGCTGTTCCTGTCAGCAGAGACAAGCATCTACAACTCCACTTTGTCAGATGCATTTTCTATTATACAGTGTGTTTTCCAGTCCCTTCCCTGTTTTCATGGCTCTTCTATAAACCCTCTCCAATTTTCAGCATTCGCTCCACAACCATGTTATCAATGCAAGTTTGTTGCTGGGAAAAGCCTTCCCTTTATTGCAGCTACTCATTCACGCTCTCCCTCTTTCTGCCTATTTTAGGAGTGCATGTGATCACCCTGAAAAACAATTTTGATTAGATGAAAGCGAGCATGGTGTAAAAGAGAGGGGAGAAAAATAAAAATTTAACAATGCTCTCTCCCTTCCCCCAGCAGGAACTGGCATAGCCAAGTATCACACTGCATGGCTGGAAGGAATCAAGTAAACAGGTTCCTGCACAGAAAACATTCTCGCTCTCTCTCTCCATAGGAAAGATTGTTCATGGCAAAGATTGTCGGTCAGGCTCCAGAACACTACTGAAAAAGCAATAAACTACTAATTTTTTAACATCTCACTCTATTTCACAGCTTATGAGACTCTATGTACTTTTCATGTTCCAAAAATAGGTTTCTGCAGCAATTTGTCCATGATAAGTTAATGTTGAAGAAGAGCTGGGAAGTGTACTGTATGCCTAACAATGCCTCCAACATGATTTAAAGAGGAGGAAAACAAAACAGATGACAGAACTAAACTCTTTTTGTAAAATAAAGTGGAGGCAGTGAGAACATGAGATTAAAACTGTCTTCCTGTTCTTGGAATTTAGGCACTGGTCAAAACTCAAAATGCCTGGCCAGATAAATCATATTCAGAGCTTGAAAAGGTTCAGGTTTCAAGGGCTAAGCACAGATGAGTCAGAAAAACAAAAGTTAAAATTACTTAGTTGGAACTACAGTAGAAAAAAAAAAAAAAAAAAAA